ATCTTCAAATTCATATTTTCTAGTCTTTAAATTAAAATATATATTCTTTTCAAATCTAAAAAGCTTTTTACATTAATGAGAAAATAATAAAGTATATTAGAAATTAAATGATTATAAATGTATTTAATACTTTATGTATATCATTTATTTATTTAAATATAGGCTCTTTATTGGTTCTCTATTTTTTTAAAGTATTATTACTCCTTATATTCAATATTTTTGCTTTTTTAAATTAGCATCAAATTAATTAAATCGATATCTTCTGTTTCTAATTAATTTATCTGAAAACTATAACAAAAGTTATCACTCATTAACAAGTTTAAAATTTCTATAAATGTAAGTATTTATCAACATTGTAAATAGTGTTATTGATAGATGCTTCTAGTATTTATATAATTTAACACTTTTTAAATTTTATCAAATAAATTACATAGAATATCCTTAATATCTTATTATTTATTTGAAAATGAAATTAAGGACATTTGTATGATTAAAATTGAATAAAATTAATTATAATTAGATTCTATTAACATTTTTTATTAATTTTTAGAGTGGCTTTTAATTTGTAATTAATATTTAAAAAATTCTAATAAATTTATTTTTAAAGTTGAAATTTATTTATATGATTATTCTTCATTAAATTTAAAAAAATCAGCTTCGTCTTTCCAGAAAATAAATGAAATTGAGGATTGTTACTTTCCAACATTTATTTTATTTCAAATTTAACTTTAATATAAAAGATATGTTTACTTTTGAATTCTGAGATTACTTATAGTTAAAAAGAGGCAATTAATTATTTTGCTTGAAATCAAAATTTATAAGAAAAATCTAATTAAATTTTTTCTTTTAATTTTGTTTACCTTAAATTTTTAAAATAAATAATTAATTACCTAAAGTATATGATGGATGAATAAATAAATATAATGGCCCAACAAAGCTAGAATTTATCAAGTTTTAACATATAAATAAATAAAATGGTCCAGTAGAACAAGAATTTATCAAGGTTTAAGAATAAATAAATATAGTGGTAAAACAAAATTAGAATTTATCAAATTTTAAGAAGAAATAAACTTTATAATTTAAGCGACAGACCTCTTCAAATTATTATAAATTTATTCAACAAGTTAATATTTTCTTTCAAAGTTAAACAGCTTTTTCTATTAATGAGAAAATAATAAATTATGTTTGAAATTAAAAAGTTTTTAATTTATTTTAATATCTATGTGTATTGTTTTCTTCATTTAATGTAGGTACTTTTTTGGTTCTCTCTATTTTTAAAGTATTAATACTCCTTACATTCAATATTTTTTCTATATTAATTTAGCATCAAATTAATTAAATCAATATCCTTTATTTCTAATTAATTTACCTGAAAATTTAAAACTTAATTTGAAAAATATACAGTAAATAGCAAATAGATTGATAAATTCTTACCTTTATAGAGAATTTTAAACTAGGTAATGAGTGATAACTTTTGTTATATAAATAGTAATAATGATACTTCTAGTACTTTGTACTTTGATGTAAAAAACTTTATTTTAAATTCAAACCAAATTTTATTTTCTAAAATATATAATCAATTAATTAAAAAGAAAAGTAAAAAATATGAAAATTCAATAAATATTTCTTCTATTTCTAATTTGCACTTGTTGTAGTGTCTATGCTTTAAGCTAATGTAAGTGCACTGTAGATTCTTCTCCTTTCCCTGGATCTGTAAATTCTGTACCCACTGCTCTAGCTCTTTCTCCTGAAGATGAATATTCAGAAACAACAAATATAGGAAAACTTATTGCAGTTGGCTAAATATAACTTCTTTAACAGACATTCTCAGTTTAGTAAAAATCAAACGTCGTTTTTTTACATAACTGCCCTTCAGGATACACTCCTGTCACTCAAGATGATCTTAAAGCAATAATTGCTAGACCAGATTATAGTACTTTGATAGGATCAGATTATCTAAAACTCGATTTCTCTAACAATACTTACTATTCCCAAACTAAGGTATATCCTTCGAGTACAAAAGGTAGTGATAGTAAATCTTTTAAGTACTACACTTTGTCTGTAGACTCGAATGGTAAGCCTAATATCAATTATGAAAGTACTTACTTTGACACTAAGACAAAATTAACTATTTGCAAAAGAAATTTATAATAATTCCCAGTTTAACTAGCCGGATACGAAGGATATGATCTAGAAAAAGGAAAATCTTACTAGTTCTAAATTATCAATAAGAATGTTTAAGCATATTATGTTTCTGATAGCAATAATAACACATACACTACTTCAACTTTCACTTATACTCATAATGGGAATTCTTAATGGGGATGTGCTACTATTAACTTTAAGCTTTAGGTTTTTGGAGGAGTAACTGTTGGTGATTGTCTTACTATTTGGACTAAAAACTAAATTGCTTTTAATGCAGACTCTAGCAATTTTAATATTAATACAATTTAGAGCACAGTATTATCAGGAGTTAAAGCTAACATGACTTAAGATATGTTCTTTAGCCCTGGTTCTGCACCCATAGCACCTATAATTGGAGATTCAAGCTCTTTTTATGTATACTATTCAAATTTAAACACAAACTAGCTTATGGTTTAAAAGGTTTCTAGCTCAGGAGCACCTATTGGATCTGCAATAAATACAAAGTAAGTTGGTTATCCATATGATATTGCTTCAACAGATTTTGGTTTTGTAGTTATGGCTGCAGATTCTAGCTAAAGAGCATTTATCTAAGCGATCAATAAAGATGGATCTTAGAGATGGCTAAGAA